ACTTTTCAAGTTTGATTAAACCTGTTACACTGGTAGCAGAGGATGGTTTGCGCTTATTGTACTCTATTCCACTTGAGCATTTGGGTTATAAGCTCCTTCCTCTCCATAGGAGGGGGATGATGTAACAGTTTTCCCCTGTTACAACACACCACTGTCTATCGGCGCCATGAAAAAGAAAAGCGACGATGTTATGAAGAGAGAGTGAGAGAGGTGGAGCATGCGACGTTCATGCCTGTTGTGCTGTCGGCAAGTGGTGGCATGGGAAGAGCGGCGACATCACTCTATCGCCAAATCGCGTTATTGAGAGCGGAAAGGAGGAAGGAGCAGTACTCCCACGTAATATCTTACATCAGATCCATACATGACCAGGACAGGGGACGGTTTCAAATAGGACACAGGTTACAACCCGGAACGGACTCAATATTCACTTTATCTCTTGGTATTTTGATTAGAAAACAATTATGTCACAGTGAGACTACGATGTGTTATACTCCGAGCCAAAATTTCATGGCTCTGCGATGACCAGAAGCGCCTTATCAAGCAGGTGAGTTTTTGACGTGTTGCTTCGCACTGCGACTTGAGCTTTACGACTTTCGAAAAATCAACTTCTTGTCGCAGGTAAACAGCGGCTCGCCTCTCGCCAATAAAGCACCGCATACCAATCAAAACTAATGGAAGCACACACAAGGCTTATTGTTACTCTGTACTGGCCGTCGTGGAGCGATAGCAATTACCTAATTTCAGACCCAGAGTGAATTTGACGTGCACTCTAAAACGTGTCCGGTTTGGAGCCACCTCTGATTTGAACTTTTTTGAAGCGAAAAATTGGGCAACTTGGAGGCAATGGGTCAACACAAAGGAGTGCCTCAGTTCGATTGACGTCAAGAGAAGCCAGGTGTCCAAACCAACCCAAAATTCTCTTGCCTTATTCTTCAGTGAAATAGTTATAAAAAAGTTGTCTTACCAAACAACAGTGAGCATAGAAGCAACCTCGATGCACCCAATAATATGGCATCCGGGAACAGCAAGTGTTGCACGAGGATCCCAAGAACACGTCAAGTTCCATACTACCCGCCGCCATCAAAAGAACGAAGGATAACTGTGCTAGCCTAGTTCATATTTGTTTGTTTGTTTGTTTATTTCACTCAACTGGTGGTCCATGACCAATTGGCATGCAAAGTGCGAGAGTGGGGTGATACCCAACCACGGCAAGAAAGGAAAAGAAAGGGATATAGAAAAAGAGAAGAAAGAAGGATAGACAAGCAAGGAGATCCTATCGTACTACATTATGCGATCGGAGTGCATTTTTAAAGCTGGAAAGACATTTTGATGTCTTAACATGCTGGGGAAGTTGCAGCCCATTCAATGTGTAACACTACCGCGTTAACGGTACGGGATATACAATGTAGGAGCCTGTTGGGAAGGCGTGGGCGAGCTGTAAAATCTTGTACGGTTCGCACAGCACAACATACATGCAGCAGTTATTGCGACGGTTAACGTCGATGGACGAGAGTCATAAAGCACAGTTCACGGGGGTTGACGTTTCTGGGCTTCCTTTCCGAAAGGAAAGTCTTATTTCTTCTCAGATAAGGCAGAATCATGCTGATTATACCAGTCTGTTATGAAGACACTAAAGCAGCCATGGACATTGTGCCATTCCAAAGGAACGACAGGAAAAGATAAAGCACTTCATCTGAAAACTCAAGGACTATCCATAAATACAGCCTGGTAATGTCCAACTCCGTCACGTGAGCCATTCGGTGAGTTATCATGGGAAGCATATTGTTAGAAATACTGAAATTTGAACAGTTGCAGTTGTGTTCGTCGCCACACAATGCCATCGCCAGTTCACATTCTAAATGTAGCCATTTTTACGCTTGTGTCCCTGTACATGGCATGGAAGGTTGAACAGATTCAACTCTTCCATCGCTTTCTGATCTGTACAGTAGTGCGGTTGCGTTCCCGTTCCTGACACTCACAACCGTCTCGGCTAACCAGCATTATGAGCACTCCAGTGGTTCCTGCCGCTCCTTCCGTATCGTCCCAGCGTGCCCCGTCCAAATGTGCACTAATGTAGGCAACAGAGCCAGTGTATGATGAAAGTGAATGCACTGTTTGATGATGCTCCAACAAATCCTTTCACCGTTGTATGGAATTTGTAAGAAGAGTAGTGGCTCAACTGTAGGTCCAACGCAAAAGGTACCTCATAGCGCAGTTCTGTTACGTCCACAATAATGAACATACTCAGCATGTGTATCAGACACACGCTGGCATTATTTTGTCCACATTCTCCCAGGAGGAGATACAATGTAGTTCAATCATGTCTTCAGTACATAGGGCACCGTTGCCTCGTTGCAACTAAACAGGTATGCAAGTTACTTTCCCATGAGACCCAGCCGGAGCCGTATCGTCGTCATTACCAGCTATTCATGGAGAGGTATAATGTGACTTTCCACCACTCCCTGATTCAATCATAGTTTGCTTGCCTGCACCAAACTGCTTTCTCACTAGAGCCAGGCATTGGATACATATGGCTTCAATTGTTACGTTTAGTTCACTGTTCCGCCCATGTCACTGGCACCTTTCATGCATTGCTTGCATGCGTGTTTTACATGCCCGCGCCTGTGTGGCTGCACGTGTCGCGTGACCGATGCAAATCACTCCAGATTCCCGCGCTGCGCACGTGGAGGCTTGTGGTACTGCGTGTTTCGGTTTTATTGGTCTGGCTTTGTCGACCAGTAGTGTCTTTTGCTTTGCAGTTCGCTTGGTGTGTGTTTTCTCTTGGAAGTGTATTCGATTCTTGTGTTCTTGCTTTATACGTTGTAGTGGTGAGAGTTGAAGTTGGTTTTCTGTCAACACTGAACGTGTCCATCTGTGCGTGGTGAAGATTCTTGCGTAGTTTGTTTGTGAGAGTGTGTTCTGAGCATTCTACAACGAACCCTAATTGAAAGTAACATTTCTGGCACCTCCGACGGGATACGCAGTTTCCTCGGCCATGGATGGATTAGAGCAGGACCGCTCTACCCAAGATGGGACTAGTGAAGACAACCTGGACGCCTCGGATGGCTCAGCCTTTGGCGACAAGGCAATCATTACGCAGCGCAAGCAGCTGAGGCGAAGGCTGACGCTGTGCCTAAAAGGATTGTCGAGTGAATTTGGCAAGTCGAGTCCAAGCCGTAGGTACCTTGGGAAGGACCTACGCAAGGCGGAGGAGCTCGTGCACGCCATTGAAGAACTGCTCCACGGACATAGGGAGCAACTGGAGCAGCAACAGGATTCGGCACGCTTGGACGTGTTGGACAAGTGGGAGGAAAAATTCCGAAACGAAATTAGCTTGCTGGCTGATGTGAGCGCACTTCTGGAAGAAACGCCGGATGGAGGTGACGAGTCGCAGCAACACGATGAAAACGCCAGAACCGAAGAGGAGCACGCTTTGGAGAGCAGCTCAGGTGCGGGGCGTTTGGATTCTATGCTGGATCTCACCTCATCCGTTGGACAGTCTGGGGCAGTCTCAGTTAGTGCCAGCAGATCACAGTCAGTTGGACCAGCAGAGACCTGCAGAACTGGCAGAAGCGGCATTGGAACTGACGCTCCACTGGCCAGGACTACATCTGGTATACAAGGACGCATCTCAGCGCCTCTGCTTGGTGTCCTTTCATCAGCCTCTCACAGCCAGGAGCAGGGGGGGAAGTCCTTTGCAGCCTAGTCAGCCACAAACTATTCAAGCAGTAAGTGGTCTTCATGCACCCATAACATCTGCAGCGCAAAGTGCTTTTCAGCCACTAGGACTTGCTATATCTACACACACTGTGCCCAATGCATCTAGTGCAGCCAGTGTACAGATAGCATCCAGTGTTCCCTCATCAATGCCAGTGTTGGCATCAACAGGAACTCTGCCACGATCAGTGCAACCTCAACAGCTGCCTATGAGGGCAGCACCCCCAGTCATTGGGTTTGGATCTGCGCCACCACAGCCGATGCCGCCCATGCCAATGATGACGTCACTGCCAACGTTTGGACATGCGCCAACAGTTGTGAGTAGTACGATGCACCAAGCCAGTCAGCCGCCCAGGATTTCCACCATGCCCATGGTCTCATGGCATTCAACCCTGAACGTATATGCACCGCAGTACGTGCCGAAGACCAGCAGCACACTGCCTCCGCAAAATTATCAATTTGCGCATTCTGGCTACATGCCACAACAACCGTTCGTGAAGCCTCTAAAACTGCCGGCGTTCAGTGGCAAGGCGCATGATTATCACCGTTGGAGGAATTCCTTCCTCCAATACATGGATCCACGCCTGCCAGACGAATACAAGATGGCCCGACTGAGGGATGCCATTGAGCACAGCACAGCCAAGGATCTTGTCGTGGACCTTCTTGACGGGCCAGGCACTTACTCCGTTGCCTGGGGTGAGTTGGAGTCCTGGTTTGGAGGAGCAGACAGGCATCTAGAGCAGCAGATACGAGAGGTCATGACGCAGGCCAGAATTGCCAACGAACGAGATCTGGAAGGCCTGCAAAAGTATGCCGTCAAGCTCCGCAGCACGATTGCTAACATTCGCACCAGTGGCAGCACGCCGAGTCAAGAGCTGTACATAATTGCGACGGAGAAGATTCCCAAGTCCATGCTATCAAGTTCTTCGATAAGCATGGAACTGGCAGCACTGACATCGATGCGTTCGCCACGTGGCTGTTAAGTTACGTCAAGAACTTGAAGCATGCCACGGAACGGCTTGGGTTGCTCGAAAAGCAGGAGACGGGATCCCAAAGCACTTCGCAACCTAAACCGAAGATGAAGCATCAGACATTGGCAGCGGCCAGTGTCCGCGGGCAGGACAAAAAGTCGGCAGCCACAAAATCTCCAGCACGGCAACAAAAGTGCCGAAAGTGTAACGGGCCGCATCAGTTGCGTCACTGCAACGAATTCAAGGCGCTAGGTGTCAACAAGCGCAATGAGTTGGCTAGGCTGCTGAATCTGTGTTTGAACTGCCTGGGTGATGGCCATTGGGCGCGAGAGTCAGTCAGCTGCCTGCACGGAATGTAATGGCAAGCATCACTTGTTGCTCCACACCGAGCACAAGCCTGCTTCTGACAAGGCTGAGAAGGCGCCACAATCCACAGAAGAGACCACACATCATGGAACCGACTCGGCTGGCGGGTTGCCAATGACCGAAGACGGCGCAAGCGGGTCAACATCATTTATGACAGTTCCTGTGCAGGTCATGAACGGGGCACATTCCGCCATGGCGAATGTGCTACTGGACTCTGGCTCGAGCTGCAGCTATGTGTCAGAGCAGCTCTCAAGGCGACTACATCTTCAAGGAAACGACAAGGACGTGAGTGTGACCGTACTCGGCGGCAAGGTTCTGCGCGGCCGACGGCGCGTCGTGAAGCTGCACCTTCGCCACCATGATAGCAAGGCCACTACTCAACTGGAGGCCTATGTGATGCCCAAGATCACGAGCGAGCTCCCTGCCACCAATTGGAATGCCGTGCGGAGCCAGTGGCCACACCTATCCGGCATTGAGTTTGCAACTGTAGCTCACGCCAAGGTTGACATACTCGTCGGCTTGAATGCCGCTGTACTTCACGTCGCACAGGAGGAGCGAGTTGGCAACGACGGCGATCCCATCGCCAGACGAACGCTTCTCGGCTGGGTGTGCTTTGGTCCCAGCATACGCTCCAAAGGCCCCAGCAGTCACAGCACTTTCCATGTCGCAGAGGCAACGCGCTCAGGACTGGATACACTGGTGAAGAAGTTCTGGGAACTTGAATCAGTCGGGATGGAGACATCATCAGATGAGTACTTGACACCGGATGAGCGCCAAGCTGAGAGTAACACCCGCCAGTACATCCGTCACGTAAATGGGCGCTTCGAGGTTGCCATCCCGTGGAAGACAGAGGAGCCGCCTGGGGTCAAGAGCAATCGAGTTCAAGCTGAGTGTCGACTCAGATCCTTGGTACGTTCCCTGCAGCGACGGCCTGACGTACAAGTCCGCTACGCCAAGGTACTGGAGGACTACCTTCACAAATCGTACATCAGGATGCTGACAGCACAAGAAGAATGCAGCGGTGCTACAGACGAGTGGCTCCTTCCGCACTTTCCTGTCGTGTGAGAGGACAAGGCCACCACCAAAGTCCGTGTCGTCTTCGACGCTGCTGCTCAGTTCAATGGAAGCAGCATTAATGACCGCATGCTGGCAGGGCCCAAGCTCCAGAACGACCTTGTGAAGGTCCTCATCCGTTTCTGTGAGCACCCCATCGCACTGATCGCCGACATTTCGGAGATGTTTCTGCAGGTCGGCCTGAGACCTGAGGACCGGCGCTACCACCGCTTCCTATGGTTCGTGGATGACGATATACGTGTGTTCGAGTTTACGGGACGTTTCAACTGGCAACAGGAAGAACAACTTGCAACCCAATCTAATACATCTTTCTTCATGCCTACCCAGTGAAATTGTTGCGTCAGTTTCTTCTGCAGGCGTGTAGAACCCGTATGTCCCCCCTGGTCATGATACTCTTGCAAAACCAAAGAACGTAAATGTCGGGGAACAAAATTGCAAGATAGATGGCTTACCGGGGCAAGGGTCCTCCCAACGACGGCACAACACCCCCTCATGATGAACCAGCATTTCATGATTTTTCCACAAAATACGTACCTCAGGACTGCTACCCATCATGTCCTGTGGGCAAGGCGGAGAGTCCATACCTAGCCAGGACACTACTTGGGCGAGATCTCGGTCCTTCTCCTGTTCCGTTTCCCATCTTGACCACGGCCAGTTGAAACGGCGGATATTGCCAGGTGTGTCTTTACCACCATATTTATCAACCATAAGTACAGCTGCAGTGGTGTCTTCAACTTCATTCTCCCGAGTCAAGCTCCGTATGAAGATATCCAAGAAGAAGATTGCCTGATGAGTCCAGCGGGGACGAAACTTACGTCGCAATCGAGCTATGCCGATGCTGTGTCATCATCTATGTGCCATGCGCTACTTGATGTACCAGCCTGCTATGCCGGATACCGCCAGCCATGCATCGACCAGGCGCCAGGCGCGAACTGATGGTGGTGGTGGTGAGAAGGAGAGCTCTGTGCCAGAACTTTGCAGCCTAGAGAGCGTGTGTGGGCAGGCGTGTGTTTACCGCCATATTGCCAGGTGTGTCTTTACCACCATATTTATCAACCATAAGTACAGCTGCAGGTGTGTCTTTACCACCATATTTATCAACCATAAGTACAGCTGCAGGTGTGTCTTTACCACCATATTTATCAACCATAAGTACAGCTGCAGGTGTGTCTTTACCACCATATTTATCAACCATAAGTACAGCTGCAGGTGTGTCTTTACCACCATATTTATCAACCATAAGTACAGCTGCAGGTGTGTCTTTACCACCATATTTATCAACCATAAGTACAGCTGCAGGTGTGTCTTTACCACCATATTTATCAACCATAAGTACAGCTGCAGGTGTGTCTTTACCACCATATTTATCAACCATAAGTACAGCTGCAGGTGTGTCTTTACCACCATATTTATCAACCATAAGTACAGCTGCAGGTGTGTCTTTACCACCATATTTATCAACCATAAGTACAGCTGCAGGTGTGTCTTTACCACCATATTTATCAACCATAAGTACAGCTGCAGGTGTGTCTTTACCACCATATTTATCAACCATAAGTACAGCTGCAGGTGTGTCTTTACCACCATATTTATCAACCATAAGTACAGCTGCAGGTGTGTCTTTACCACCATATTTATCAACCATAAGTACAGCTGCAGGTGTGTCTTTACCACCATATTTATCAACCATAAGTACAGCTGCAGGTGTGTCTTTACCACCATATTTATCAACCATAAGTACAGCTGCAGGTGTGTCTTTACCACCATATTTATCAACCATAAGTACAGCTGCAGGTGTGTCTTTACCACCATATTTATCAACCATAAGTACAGCTGCAGGTGTGTCTTTACCACCATATTTATCAACCATAAGTACAGCTGCAGGTGTGTCTTTACCACCATATTTATCAACCATAAGTACAGCTGCAGGTGTGTCTTTACCACCATATTTATCAACCATAAGTACAGCTGCAGGTGTGTCTTTACCACCATATTTATCAACCATAAGTACAGCTGCAGGTGTGTCTTTACCACCATATTTATCAACCATAAGTACAGCTCCAGTCTTCAATTGTTTTTGAAGAGAGAAAGCAAAAGTAGCGGTAACCTCTTTTACGGGCAAACAGAATACAATTGACAGTGGCATGGCGAATGATTACAACACAACACCAAAAAATGAAAACAATTGTATGTGTGAAAAAACGCAAAAAACAAAAAACAAAAAAACAAAAAACAAAAAACCCCAGGAAAATACAAGGGCACTGTCCTGCCCACCATCGTCTCCAAAACCTCACAGCCGGCCCTCCGAGATTGCCAACTCTCGCAATGCATTCACAGGACGTTGATATGACGATCGAGCACCGCGGATGCACATGATCGCCGACCGCAACAATGCAAACGCCAGTCGACACCGGACATATGTCATTGTCTGGGCATACAACTTCGTGTCCCCACTCGAAATGAGGCCACACAGGTGCTTAACAAATCTGGAGCACTCTGGCGCACAACAACCTGGTGAAAACTAGTGGAGTAAATGTCCACATTGATGGTCCACATTGATGATGCGCTCAGCATACTGCAGCTTCTTCTTCCTCTCATGCTCCGCCAACAGTTTGTCGAGAGGTTTGGTGGCATAGGACGGAGCATCGGGATGAAAAACCCGGACATCCAGAAAAGCATTCTGTGCCCTGGTCCACAGCCCTCGAGCCCGGATATCAGCGCGAGCATCGTTGGCGGTGATAGTTGAGGCTGCCAGAAACACCTCTCCCGAAATCGGAGCAAGCTGCGGCTCGACAGCGACATCCGAGCAAACTTCAGTAAGTAAGTCGGCAAGAATATCGCGACCTTCATTGTGCCGAATGGTGGGGAACCACCAGTAGGGCAACACATGGCATGGGCCGGACTAAACGGTTGGCCACAAGAGTAGGTAGTAGGCACATCAACCAATGCCCAGTCATACCGCAACGCCACGGCATCCCTGAAATCTCCCTTCGACAGATGATATCCGTGTTCTCTGATAGGCAGTGTGTTGAGCCAGCTAGAGACAGAGGACAAATGCTCCAAACGACGCGCCATATCCGCCGACGCCGACTGCCGCAGCTGGCGGAACTCAGCCTCACTTGCTGTGCCGCGTTGTCTGGCAAAATCCTTCTTGGCTGTCAGAGGATCTTGCCGAACACGTTCCGGTGCTTGCTTGGTCCATGATGTGTTGTTCTGTTGCAGAATTTCACTAACCTGGGCTGCTGTCATTGCTCTGGAAGCGTCGCGCTCTGTCCCGCTCATGCTGTGAAAGTGTGGAATGGCCATTCCCCCGAAACGAGTCGGCAGCCTGAGCATCACCAAATCCTCCGTGGTGAATGCATCTCGACCAGTTGCAGCAAGCAAGAACTCAGTTTCGATTACCTTGTCCAACGCTGATACTGCGTCCTCCGGAATGGGAACCGTACGAAAGAGGTAGACCCAACGACCCCGCAGGCCATGAGTCAAAGCAGCATAAGCCGCGTGAGGCTCTGGGCTGGCAAACTTTGCTAATGCGCGTAGCTCCTTGCACCAATAATCAACCCTCTCCCTCACTTGGCTGGCAACATCATCAGGCTCCCCGATGTATGAGCCCAGATATTTAGTGCTGCCGGTGACAATGCGGACACCGGTGCCTTCAAACAGATGTGAAGCCTCCTCCTCCAATCCGGGCTCCACGAGAAGTAGGGTTTTGTCCGGATTGGTGAAATATCCATACAGGCGACCGTGTTCCTGGATTGTCGTCCACCAGTCTCGAATCGCTCTCATCCTGCCAGCACCACTGGAGTCATCCGCATACCAAATCTGCTTAACGGCGTCGTGTTGCTGCTGCAAATGCCGAATGATGGGGAGTGTGGCCAATGCATAAAATGCATACAGCTGCAGTGGTGTCTTCAATTTCATTCTCCCAAGTCAAGCTCCGTATGAAGACATCCAAGAAGAAGATTGCCTGATGAGTCCAACGGGGACGAAACGTACGTCGCAATCGAGCTATGTCATTGCTGGGTCATCATCTATGTGCCATGCGCTACTTAATGTACCAGCCTGCTATGCGGGATACCGCCAGCCATGCATCGACCAGGCGCCAGGCGCGAACTGATGGTGGTGGTGGTGAGAAGGAGAGCTCTGTGCCAGAACTTTGCAGCCTAGAGAGCGTGTGTGTGAAGGCGTGTGTTTACCGCCATATTGCCAGGTGTGTCTTTACCACCATATTTATCAACCATACGTACAGCTGCAGTGGTGTCTTCAATTTCATTCTCCCGAGTCAAGCTCCGTATGAAGACATCCAAGAAGAATATTGCCTGATGAGTCCAGCGGGGACGAAACGTACGTCGCAATCGAGCTATTTCGTTGCTGTGTCATCATCTATGTGCCATGCGCTACTTGATGTACCAGCCTGCTATGCCGGATACCGCCAGCCATGCATCGACCAGGCGCCAGGCGCGAACTAATGGTGGTGGTGGTGGTGAGAAGGAGAGCTCTGTGCCAGAACTTTGCAGCCTAGAGAGCGTGTGTGGGCAGGCGTGTGTTTACCGCCATATTGCCAGGTGTGTTTTTGCCACCATATTTATCAACCCTCTAGTAGTACCTGACATACATGTACCACCCTCTAGTGTTATCTTTTTTCTTTTCTTTTTTTCCAAAGCACGAAAAAGGCCAAAAACTAAACCAAGAACATGTGCAATAACATGTTATTTAGAAAGACAGGACAAGTGAATAATTAGTCAGTCCATTGTTCATGATGATCTCCGACGGTTACGTCGGCAAGCGAGCCTCCGCCACTGGCAAAGCAGCGTGGGCTCCGCAGGAGGGTGCAAATTTCAAACCAAAATTTAAACGCCTACAACCGCGAATGCACATGATACAGGATTTCAGAAGGCTGAAGGAAATCCTGCATCTAACAAATTACATAACATGTGAGTAATGCTCACCCCTCTTCTCAGCCAACAGATGAGCAATTCGTTTATACAGTG